TTCTTCTTCTTCTTCTTCTTCTTCTTCTTCTTCTTCTTCTTCTTCTTCTTCTTACGCGAACCACCATCAAATTGTACATGTATTCCAAATGGAGCCACAATACACCCTCAAAGGATTAATAAAATGGCACAAAAACACATTGTTTACCCCGCTGATGTCGCCACTGCTCGTAAAAGTGAGAATAATCCCGATAATGTTAACTTAATCAACAAAACGCTAATTAAAGTCAACAATGTGAAAAAAGCATCAACAACATCAAGAAAAACAACAACATCAATACCAACAACAACAACAACATCAATATCATCGTCAACAAAATCAACAACATCAATATCATCATCAACAACACTAACAACAACAAAATTAAGACGACTCACCGATACAGGATTTCATCAACAACGCACAAGCTGGTATAAGAAGTCCGCAGACCGGAACCAACGTTTGCAGTAACAGCTGTGTTCCAGTAGAAAACGTCTGAGTGTACTTTGTGAACGGCTGGATGTGACTGAAGATTGTTGCCAATATGACGAATACCTTGAGCAATGTACTGTGCTTTCTGTGGATTTTTGTGGAAGAATTTTATTTGATCATAGTTTAAGCAAGTATTTTACAGCACTTAGAAAACAATAAATAGGTCATGTAAGTGCCGAAAATTAGAGGTACATATATTACTGAAGGGCAATATGCGAAGAAAAAGAGCTGGATAGATAAGGACGCCAGATGCTTGATAGCAAACCAAACCAGAGCACCTACCACCAGCTACTCACTTTTTGAAGTCATTATAGCATGCTTTGAATAAGAGTATACCAAGTCAATGAAATTTGACCAAAGTAAATTTCATTGCAAGTGATATCGATCGATCCATCTATCGACCAATCAACAAATCAATCAATCAACAAATCAACCAACCAGTCAATCCATCCATCCATCCAGCAATCGATTGAACGATCGATCGACCAATCAGTCATACACCAAACCAATCGATCGATCAATAAATTAATCAGTCAATCACTTAATCATCAAACAACAAGTCATCAAGCAACGAGCTATTCAATTCTTTTGTAGATTAATTGATTATCAGATCAGTTTGAAGAACAGAATATCTATCTATCTATCTGTCTGTCTGTCTGTCTGTCTGTCTGTCTGTCTGTCTGTCTGTTTGTCTGTCTGTCTGTCTGTC